GCGTCGATCACATCCACGCCGAGCTCGGCCAGCTTACGAGCGATCAACAGCTTCTGCTCCGTCTGCATGGCGGCGCCGGGTGACTGTTCCCCGTCTCGGAGGGTCGTGTCGAAGACGCGTACGTAGTTCGGGTCGGAGATCCTGTTAGGTATGTATTCCGGACGACGGACGCGGCGGAGATGATTCGCCGCCGCCGACTGGTCGGCAGGAGACAGTTGTCGGAGAGGAGGAGGAGGTGGTGGTGATAGTGGTGGGTTTTAGCACTGAAGACGCCATTGATGAGAGAGAAAGAGAGAGAGAGAGAGAGTTGACGTCTTGACGAGTTAAGCGACAGTTGTATGTATGTTATTGGTGCGTAGATTTACTTATACACGTAAACATATAGATACATGTGAATCTCTATATACACATGTATGGTCAGTCCATAATTTGGAAAATTCACAGATGGTTGCTAAGTATTGGTTGAAACTTTTTCCTCCCACCAACGCTGAGCCGCCTCCGATTTAATTTGTAAGGCTGAAAACTCACCTTCTTTAAATGTACTATACACATATACATCCATACATGTGTATATATACACACATGAAATGTATGCATGGACATGGACATGCTGATGGTTATGTGAGATTCCAATATTTGGACGATTTCAAAGCCAATCGCATCACTTCCTTACATCGCAATCGCCATATATAATCTTCGTAGCAATGTATTTTAAATCTTAATAAATTTTGTTTTTATGGCAAAAGTAAACGATACCTATTAATTTTCATCTCATGACACTCTTAGTAAAGACCTTTACCGGTCGGACGTTCCATTTGAAATGTCGGTATCTATACCCGAATATGCTTGCCATTTGAAATTGAATAGTAATACCACGTCAATTGCCATTTTTAGTAAATATTTTATTTATGGAAAAAGTAAACGCTGCCTATTAATTTTCAAATTCAACGTGGGTTTTTTTTTTTTAAAATGGATAAGAATTTTCTTATAAGAAGGAAACAATAAACAAATACCACGAGCGGGTTTTTATTTAAAAAAGAAAAAGAAACGTGATTTGATTGGATACATTCATTTTTTTATTTTCAATCTAATTGAAATATCTCAGGGTTAGGCAAAAAAAAGGTCGAATTCAATAGAATTTTTTAAAAAATTGGGAAACGACGGAATGAAATAGCCACCACAATAATCAATTCAATAATTGGAAAGTTGTGGTCTCAATCTATTTGATTAACAAGACCCATGTCCATAATATTATTTTTTTAAAATAAATTTCATATATAATAACCTCATCAATAAATATCGACCGATATGCCCATTCCACATCTCTTCGGCGCACGCCACCCTCAGAGTTGTGCCAAAATTTTAAACGAAATATATATTATTAGATTTACATACAAAGCTAATTAGATAGTTTTATTGTATTCGTGAATTTTAAAGCTTGTCAAATTTTCAATAAAAAAATTAATTTAGGATATTGAATACCGTCGGGCCTGAATATATATGATTTAATAATTAAAAGTCTAAATCAAAGGGGGTGTTTTTTTGGCTCATTCGAAGTTTCTTCGTTCATTGTATAATTGTTTTTATTATATGATTTAATTAGTAGTTATTGGTTGTAGTATTTTATTTCTAAAAATCAATAATTATAAACGCAATATAAAATTATGTTTTATATATGTAGAGATGCACATATAATCAATTTGCATTCGAGATTCAAAGATTTGGGTTATCCATCTCGTAACTCATCTCAGCAACCGAAACAAAATAACAAACGACCACGACTTGTCAAAATTTCAACACAATATTTTATATTTATAATGCATAGACTGATATATATATATATATATACACATATGTATATAGTCGTCTCAACAAATTTAGGACGCGTACGATATAATTTACGATATTAAGTTATAAACTAATTTTTTTAAATTTATTTTTTAATTTAATTAAAATATATAAATAAATAAATAAAATAGAAAGTGATTAATAAATCTATAAATTTATCAATTTCTAACTCTATCTCTATATATTGAATTAAAAATGTAAACTTATAATTCAAATAAAAATGTTGTTGTTAATAACATGAAATAATAAAAATGAGAATAAATGATAATTTATATATAAAAATAATGAAACAAAAAATATAAATATTCAATATCTGAATAAAATTAATATTCAGATGTTAAATTATATAAAAATGATTATTAAAAAGTAAATTAAAAGATTGTGATAGAATTTTTTAATTTTATTTTAAAATAAAAAATTAAAACATTAAAATGGTAATAATATTCTATTCTCTTGAAGGTGGGTTCTGTGCAACCTCTCCACTTACACACCCTTGTGATGGCTTTGTATATATATCCAATACACACGTCACCAGGAACGTTATGCCACTTTTTTAGAAGAATAAATTATTAGAATTACATAAAAGACAATTTGGATACTTTTATTATATTTTAAAGACTGTCAATTTAATTAAAATTTTAATTAGGACATTGAATATTGTCGGGCGTGAATATATATGCTTTAAATTTTATGATACTATTATTAATACCTTTTTTTTATCGATCTGACATTCAGAGTTGAGTGTATAGCACTCGAATTTACATGCAATTTCTTATACGAGGCACATTGTTTTTTTTTTAAATAAATATTGCTTTTATAGGAATGAAAAATAGGGTAGACGTTTCAGAATTCGGTTTGAGAATCGGTTGGTTAGATTTTTATTAAGAAAATTTTAGTTTTTCCCAACAAATTTGCAGTTTTTCGTTTTTTAAATCGGTTTGATTCAATTTAGTTAGAAAATTCGGTTTTCTAAACAAATTACTGTTTAGAATTTTGGATCGGATACCGTACCATATTTTTCGGTTCGATACGATTCGTTTTTAAACTATGGTACCGAAAATGATAGCTATCCATTTTGAAATTGCAACTAATTGACAAAACTAAATAAGAACAAGAGAGAGAGAGAGAGAAATTCTGTGAACTGGTTTTATTTACAGCAAGGAAAACGTGATGTGATTGGATGTATTAATCATTACTTACAAAAAAAAAATTTAATTGAAATAAATATAATATCCCGAGGAATTGAAAAGAAGGGAATAAAAATAAAAATATGACTCCAATTCCACAAAAAGTATCGTTTTTTCTTTGAAATAATGACCACATTAATTAATTGAATAGTTGCAAAGATTTGGTCTTAATCTATTTAATTGCCACGACTCATGCTCATAGTCTTATTCAATTAGAAATCAACAACCTTATGATAAATTTCATATATAAATATAATAACCTAAATAAATATTGACCCTCTCTCTTCATTGCATGGACCCAAACACACGTCATCACGAGCGTTGCCACATTTTTTTATACCAAACAAAATTATTAGATTTGCATGGAGAACATTTTTAGGATACTTATATTTTTTTTTTATAACGGAGAATCCCTTTCTACTATCTACTAAACGCGCTGACTATATAAATTTCCGGTTTGGGAGCAGTCTTTATATATGGATAATATAAACCCAGAAATTATCTCCTCCCCACCATCCAGGAATCGAACACTCAACCTCAAAGTGGAATTACCTCCTACTTCAAACTTGACCACTCGTCCACGATATGTTGGATAGGATACGTATATTTTGTTAACGCTTGATAAATTTTCAAAACAAAGCATTTTAATTGAGGATATTAAATGTCTGAATATCTATAATATGATTTATTCATTGAAAATCTAAATGTAGGCGTTTTTAACATATGTTCAATTCAAAATTGTTCGTTCATTTCATACCAAAAAAAACAAAATTGTTCGTTAATTATATAATGGGTGAGTTTCATTAGATGGTTTAATTAGTAGCTGTCACATTTAAATTATAAAAGTCTATAACTAGAAAATTATGTCTGTGTAAATTATATAATGGTTGTAAATTATATCAATTATATTAATACAAATCACTTTTACCAAAAAAAAAAACTTTTGTATTGCAGGGAAAAAAGGTTTTAAATGTCTGACATAGACTGACTTATTATTGGGGCTTTATCAATATGGGTCAGAAAGATCATGGCCCATATAATTTTGCAACTTTAAGCCCATTTGTCTGAGGTGTTTTTGTCTGTTTCCTTATCTTGGAGATCTCTAGGGTTCTATAAAAACCCTAGCGCCTGAGAAGCATACTGCACTAAAACCCTAGTCCCTCTTCTTCTTCCTCTTTCTCTTCCAGCCGTCTTCGTGGTTACCGGAGAATCCTCAACAGAGGTATGGGAAGCGACGGTGAAGTAGAGAAGACTCCATTAAAGGAGAAGGAGAGGAAGGTTGTCTCTCTGGCGCCCATTGCCAAGCCCCTCGCTGGGAAGAAGCTCCAGAAACGCACTCTCAAGCTCATTCAAAAAGGTACGAATCCTAAGCATTCCTATTTGGAGGGATCGTCTGTCACTTACGGCAGGGACGTATGGTATAAGCTTGCTCAATATATCTATCTTCCGAGATTTGTTTTCCGTTTTACGGAAATGTTTGGAAATGTTTATGTTTTTCCTGCATTTCTCTCGGTTCTACATAGAGTTAGTTTGAATCCTAAGAGTTTATCCGTTCTGTATGTTTTCACTTGTTACATCGATCAACGGATTAACCCCTAATTGGTATTAGCTTTGTGTTCTGTTTCCAAGTTCATTTGCATTTCGGTGGAAATTTCTTACTGGAAGAATATTAGCAATTGTCGCCATCATGTAAATGCATTGCTTGGGATATGTGCTGATTTTAAGTTGTCTGTGAACTTTTGCAGCTGCTGCTCAGAAATGCTTAAAGAGAGGGGTCAAAGAAGTGGTTAAAAGCATAAGACGCGGAAACAGAGGGTTAGTTTTGCAACTAAACTAGTTATGTTTTCTCTGCACATTGGTGGTCGTTTTTGTTCGTGAGATCTGTGTACAATAAGCCGATGCTCTGGAACATAATCAATGAAGGTAGCATGGTAATGTGCACAGAAACTAATTATGGGTCAACATGTCTGCCCTCTCTGAGTCTATTTTTGGTTCTTTGATTAGGGGGCCTGGTTTAAATCCACATTCTCTTTTTTATGGGTTACAGTTTGAAATATAACTTTCTTCCTGTTACTGAAACTATAATGGATTCTTTCGAAGATTCAAAGTGTTTTTTGGTTTCTATATTGATTGTTTGGTTTGTTCTTGATTAAATTATGGCCCTGTCATGAGGATTCTGGTTATTTATATTCATGAGAGCTGTGCATAACGCCGATGCTCTGGATTAAACTTAATGAAGGTAGCATGTTCATGTGCACGAAGATCAAATCATCATGGGTCTGCTTGTGTGGTCTCTCTGAGTTCTTTCCTGAATCTTTGATTTGGGGCCTTGATTAGACCCACATTGTTGTATATTATGGGTACTCCTTTTTAAGTTATAAGCACTGAGAAAAACTGCCTTTGGTTCTTTCCTTAAAATCATATGTTTTATATGCGTTTCTGTTTTGTTGGATCTTGTGAATCTGTGTACAATAAGCCGATGCTCTGGAAAATAAGCGAATGAAGGTAGCATGGTAATGTGCACGGAAAATAAGTTGAGAATGGGTTGACATGTCTGCCCCCTCTGAGCTCCTTCTTGGTCCTTTGATTTGGGGGCCTGGTTTTAGACCCACATTCTATCTTTTTACATCTATTTTCTTCATTCGTTACACAAAAGGGTTATTAAATGGTGTATATCGTGTGAGTTTCTGATGAGATTGTTTTTTCTCCTTTTGTTGTAGATTATGCGTAATAGCAGGTAACATATCTCCGATCGATGTGATAACCCACCTTCCAATCTTGTGCGAGGAGGCCGAGGTTCCTTACGTTTATGTTCCGTCCAAAGAAGTAAGCTACACTTTTTCTCAGTTTTTTCTGTTATTCTTTTTTGTGAAATCCAGTCAAACATGTATGCATGTCTAAGATAGAAACTCTATCGCAGAGGCTTAAGCTATCATTATACCTCTTAACTCTACTATACTTTCAGTGAACATGTTTTATCTTGAAAAAGAAGCTGTATATATTTTGGTCGATTTGTTTGGATCAGCTCGGTTATTTGGTTATTAACCAAATCGGCCAACCCGAGTATGGTGTGAGATATTCAAAGGGCTCATTATGATCTGTATTGACTAATGTTGCGGAATTCAGGATCTTGCACAAGCGGGCGCCACAAAGCGACCAACGTGCTGTGTATTGGTCATGACAAAACCGATGAAGGGGCAGTTAGCGGCGGCGGACGAGGAGAAGCTCAAGTCTGAATACGACCAAGTCATTGGTGATGTCAAGGAGCTCGCTTCTTCCGTTATTTGATTTGATGATGTGTTTTTAATAACCCACTTAGCATCAGCAAGCGTTTTATGATATGATATGGTTGTCCACTTAAACGTCATCAATGTATAAGATGTTTTCCTTGCATTGTTTTTATTTTGGGCATTTAATTTAAGCTTTTTGTAGCTAAATGTAAATCTTGAATTTCTTGATATGGGGTTTGTTAAATGTTCGAGGCTGTTCAGCCCTATTGCTAGAAAGAATTAAATTTAAATGCAGAGAACGTTTATAATTAAGAAAAAATAAAATCAAGATCTGATAAATGCAGAGAACGGTATTTCAGCATTTACAGAGCATTTCCTCTTAGGCCCACCAAGAGTTTATTGTAATAATCAAACATCCATTGCATCAAAACTGTTCTTCCTTTGCTATATGGATTTTACATCATACCCTTTACTACACGTGTGATCAGTCTGACTACCACGGTACGACTAGCATGATGAGATAAATAACAATGATCATATTTATAAATATATATATAGAAAGATATGATTTGAAATCCATATAACAAAGTAAATGTATATGTACCCAATCAAAACACATGATAGCCACATAAATTTGAACAAAGCGGTGCGTATAATTATTAAAATAGGCCCAAAATCCCATGTCTCGGCCCATTTAGGATGACATTGGAGCCCAATAGTATCCAACTATAAATAAAGTGGATAATTTTGACTCCGTGTTTTTTTTTTTGTAATAAATATAACAAATATAATGTTTCTGCCTTCGCTTCCTTGTTTTGGAGAATCCAATCACAGGATGTCAAACGACTCCACGATGCCGCCTCCGTCTACTGACAGCAACTCCGACGCTGTCCAGCTGTCGGAAAATCCGCCATTTCCGCCTCATCTGAACACCTCCGATACCATCTCCGCTGGACGCGCCTCCTCACCACAACAAGCCGTGGTTCTCTCTCTCCCTCTCTCTCTGCTGAGTGGTCGCTGTTGCTGAGTACGATTTGAGCTCAGGGTTTTTTTTTCCCCCTTTTCAGACCGAGTTATCGAGCAGAAATGGAGTAGCAGATCGATTATCTGACGAAATTCCGGAATTACCTCAGTTCAGGTGATCTGTTTTAGGGTTCTGTTTCATCCGCGTTAGCCGTGCATTCTCTTCAGGAACTCGATTAAAGGGTCTTGAATTGAAACCCATTTCACGGATGTAAAAGTTATGCGTTTTCCCTGGCGTTTCGTTTAGCGTTCTTGACAGCAAGGCGTACGCTGATAAATACCGAAAGTATGAATCCGAATACACGCAGATGCTAATGGCAAAATACTTCTCCGTGAAGAATATCTACGGAGGTTACTTCCATCTTCCGTTGTTAATCTTGCAACGTTATGTTCGGTCTGAACTGAAGACGACGAAGTTCTCTTGCTGAATGTTGTGTTTCAGGGAACATCTTCGAGGAGAAAACGATGATAGGCGGTGAGACCATTATGTCTAGCAGGTGGTAATGTTAGATCAGTAGAAGCAAATGCGTTGATGTGATCGTGTTTAACCCTGATTCTTATGATCACGGGATTTATCTCTGATTTGGGTGAAGTTTTATAGGTGGCCTTGCACGCGGTCGTATGCCCAACCGATGCAGTGCTTTCATGAACAAAACAACAAAGACTCGGCTTACTCGGACAAACCCCCCGGCGAAATCTCCAATGGAGATGTTCAATCAGAGAAGAACAGTTGAGTAGCCTTCTTCCCGTGTTTAATGGTACTCTGTGTTAGAGAAGAGGAGAGTAGTTTGCTGAAGCAACCAAAAGCAATTGTAGATTTTCAATGTTAAAGAAATAAAAAAGTTCCGCCCGCTTAGTTGTTTTGCTTCTTACACCCAGAATGTGATGTGATGCAACTCCAAGTTACGGATGTGAGGTAGTGGGGGAGCCAGTAGGAGCTGATGAAACCTATATTGCATTTGTTGTATACATGTAAGCCCTGTTTTAGCAGCCACATATGTAGGGGGCTGTTGAATAATTTGCTAGATATATACACAATACAAATCATCTATACTACTACCGCTACATACCCAAGGTCTAGGCCGATTTGGACGTTTTACTTATCAAGTTTTGTGTGGTCGGAGGTTGTTTGATCTGTTTGAAGGTTCAGCTCTTTCGTGATTCATCTCCCGGCAGTTGATGTCCTCCAAGTTTCTAACGGGCGGTAGCATGTCCGCCGTTAGGATGTGAAAGGAGGAGACTTTCTCTTTGAGCTGAGCATTCTCTTGCAGGATCTGGTGGTTGCTCTCCAGTAAACTGATCACCTTTTCAGACAAGTGATGATTCCACATCACGAGCTGCTCAACTTGTAGCTGTAGCTCTTCGATCTGCTTCTTTTTGCGCATGCGTGACCTTCTGGCAGATTCCCGGTTAGATACCATTCTCCTTGCCCTCTTTTCGTCTACGATACTCTGTTGATGTCCATGGTTGTAGACGGTTTCTCGATTTGGATCTGCATTGGAGCGGTTATTGCTTAGAGTCGATGTGTCTGGGGACACAGAGTGCAACTGAGTATGGAACTCAGTGTCTGGTAGGAATAGCGAGTAGAGTTGATTGTTCTGAGATGGGTTTCCTTGGAGAAGATTGAAACAGTTAGAGGGACGGTCATTAGGTTCCATGTAGGTATCTAGACATCTGATTATCAAACTGATTTCAGACGCAGGAGAGAGAGAGAGAGAGAGAGAGAGAGAGAGAGAGAGAGAGTCTCATTTTATAGTAGAGAAAGGACATGTCTGGTAGGTTAACTTGAGATGTTGATGTTCTTTAATGACAGAACCCAATTTTACTTGCATGGAGACAAATGCATCACAACTTCTTTGGTTTCTTGTTCATTCTCTTCCTTCAAAATCTGAAAGCACCACTAATCCTAATGACGATTTTTTGACACAAATCTCACTTAGTTCCACCTCTTTGTCAAGAAAGATTACCTTTTTTTTTTTCCATTTAAAGATCGAATTTTTATGAATCTCTCCTGAGTTTGTTTCCATTACACTAAATGCTAATCCGACATCTGATTCGTCTGAAAAACATCACTCTTGGCATCTGGTGAATTTGGTCGGTGGATGCTAACGTGCACGGCTGAGCATTTTTACATTCATACATTCACCAGAAAGGCTAGGATTATTCATGTTTATGTATGCACACACATACATAGGATGGTGTATAAAAGTTGCATAACCAGAGAGGTTCAATAATAAAACACATCCGCATGCAAGATTATTCATTAATTTTTTCCTGAACAAGATTATGAATAAGTTGTTTTCGGGCATCTCTCTCTATTCAATACATTGGGTGTATGAATAGTTTCCAATGGTGAAAAAACTTAGGCAAGAGATCCATATGAATATAGATGCATAGATATTTCCCTCATATTCATCTATTGCTTACCCTTAAACAAATGTTCATCTTCCTTCACGCAATCTCTTTGAAACATCATCACTAATCTCTGCTTAATAGAACAAGCCCTGTTCCTTGTCCCGAGCCACGGAAGAAGGCATTCGGGATGGTATCTATGACTACAAGGCAATTGTGTAGCCTTGACTCCAACTCTCATCTCGCCCTTGCAAACCGCACAGAGCGCGTGATCATTCCCCACGTCCTCTTTGGTCAAAAGAACTGATGGAAGGTTTCTAACGAAAGCTCTGGAGGTTGGCCAAGAGCCGAGATGTTGCCCTCAGCGAACTGCCCAAACGGCATCTCAGTTGTTTGAATATAGTCAAGATAAAAAGCCAGATACCGATCCTCGTTGCTTTGCAACCCGGGATTAGCCTCGAGATTCTGAGAATTCAACAAGAGTTCCCACCCCAAACCCTCTGGCCTTTCATCACTAGCTGAATCCTCAAGTGTGATAACCGTTGAGACAGAGACGGAAGCCAAATTGTCACCATCATTATCGGCTTCGGCAAAAACGCTTAAAGCCTCTCTCTCATCCATTACACCACCATCGACTTCCTCCCACTCGAAATCCTCATTCGTCGCTCCGCGATCTTCCAATTGAAGTGATTCCCAACAAAGAATGGCATCATCTTCATCATCACCATCATCGTTCACATACACATCCTCCACATTCAATTGTGTTCCCCATATATTCCTCTCATTCTCATTCTCTAGGTCATCCTCACCATCATCAGAACCCGACTCGATTACACGAATATCAATCCGAGTCGATGCATCGCCGCTAGATTCCACCCTAAAAGCCCTCCTCTCTATGTAGAAATCGACATCATCATGTCCGACATAATCATCAGGGCTAAGATCAACACTAACATCAATATCACTATCGCCTATGTTTTCAACCAAAAATCCACCACCAGATTCTAATCCCAACACCGAATCCACCTCCAAACAATCCATATCCACACCGTAATTTCCCTCAATAAACCCAAAACCCGACTCGGACCTCAACTCCACAACCCCGTCATCATCGATGTCGTCGTGAGGAGTTACCTGAGATTGCTCAATGCGCTGGTGGGGCAGATCCATGCAGAAACTACGCCTGTCGAGAATATCAAGACCGTCGGAAGCAGGAACGACTGAATCGGAAACCAAAACGTCGCCGGCGGAGACTGCGGCGGGGGAAACTCGGTGCTCTATTTCGATGAATTCGATTTTAATTTGTATTGATAAAAATATTTATTTAAAAAAATCGATTATTTTTATTTGATTTGATTTCTTCAGATTTATAAAAGTTATAAACATTCGATATTTATTTTAAATTCTTTTCCATTATAGTTCTGGAATATTAAGCATGCTGGTTATTGTATGAATTGGTACTTGTCATGGAATGAGACGGGCTTACACTGGGCCTTTGTCTACTCACTTCTCGGCCCCAACTTCTACAATCATTACAATATATATATATATATAATGAAAATGAATAATATGATAAGAATATTTGTTAAATTATAGTAATAGCTAATAAGATTATTCAAAAGGCAAAACTAATTGAATTTACAGAGTATTTAAATAGAGAGGACATGTGTCCCTCATTGATTGGGCAGCGTCTCTTTCGTTTGAAAAAAAACAGAGAGAGAGAAGGCAAGCACGTCAGAGTGCCACGTCATCAAGTGAGAGAGAGAGAGAGAGAGAGAGAGAGGAGGGAAGAGACTCTTCATTCACACCTTTCGCTTTCACGTATTATCAATGACCCATAAAACCAAACGACAGGTCACTCCCGAAAGGACATCACATGCATCCTCCCATTTTTTTTTAAATTTTAATTATTATTATTATTATTAAAGCAAATTAAATACGGTGTGAATATTTATATTTCTGCTGATATTTTTGGGTATAAACAACATAAAATATAGGGTATTATCTTCTATTTAAAATCCTTGCCAGGTTTAAAAAAATATTTCCATGTCACTGAAAGTTAAAACTTTTACAAAAAAAAAAGGAAGTTAAAAAGACTTCATTCCGGAAATCCAAAAAGATAAATTACTTTTACATACAAAATATGTAATTACTGTTCGGCCCCCACAGGTTTGCCTTATCTGAGAGATTTCACCTCCGGGTACTGCTACGCAAGATTTATGGGACCCACGATACGGTAAAACTGAGGAACGAGGCACCCCACGTGACACCGTCACGAGAAAGAGAGGGGCCGCCAACCCCTCGGTCTCTTACAGGCACGTGCTCTCACGTCTCGTCCTACTTCTTCCCTGTTTGGCCCCACATTTTCCATAAATTACCATTTTCCCCACATCTTCCTTTCTGCCTTTTTATACCCCACTTTGCTTGAATTTTATTTTAGCGGTGTGGGAATCGGCCCGTTCGAATTTCGAATTGCAGCAAGTAACGAAAGTACTACGAGCTTATTATAGGAAAAGATCTATTATCCCTTTTGTATTATCAAAGCTAGCCACACCATTTTATTTTATTTTTTGTATATTATATATAGTAAAGATGCATTCAGAAATACAAAAAAAAGGATAGATAATTACTAAAGGATAAAATAATATAAAGTTTCTGCGTTGACTATTGTTTTAGAGTAGATAATTATACTTCTTTAAATTACAATGTTATCCCAAGTCACACCTTCAGAACTTTTTTTTAATATGAGTACCATTTTCATATTTTTTTTATTAGGAAAGAAAAAAGGTGGTTATAAAATTTATAGAAACGAAAATATTAAATCTTATTTTCGACGTACCATAATCTGAAAATAATAATTATTACCAAAATCACAGAGGGGTCGTCGTCTCTTAACCGCAAGAAAACTGTTAACGGAGACGTTAGGGATTCACGGCGTGAATGAGCTGCGGGCCCACCGCACGCGGGACGGCACGCAGTGTGGCAGATGAACGGCAGGGAATGGGCGCACGTGACCTGCTGCTCTCATCTCACGTGCTCTCTTCTCCGCCAACAACATTTCTCATTTTTATTTTCTTTTCATTTTTTTGTTATGTCATTGTCAATACATGTTTATATATATTTATATATTGGTTATTTTCATCGTACGTATAAAATGTATTATATGATTGTATGTGTTTACATATAAAATATATAAAGAATAATATGTATATGTGAATATATTTTTATAGCGAAACCATGTATTTAACAAATAACTATACTAAAGCAATAATGATATTAATATTTTATTTATCAAATTTGTATAAAATAATAACGATTATTGAATAGCAATTAAAATATATATTTTAATTGTATATTTTAAACAAAAATATCAAATAAGTATTTTTTGAAAATTTTGGCGAAAAAAGATGAATAATTATAATATTTAGTCAGCGTATCTATATAAAAAAAGAATGGTCGGTATATATATACATGTTAGAAAATAAATTTACACGAATTTTTCGATTTATGATCACTGATATTGTTCACCTTTTTTTTTTGGAAGATGACACGTAATGAGTACCAACTGTAAAATGTCACCACAAGACCCAGACTTGATTGAAAATTAAAACCGATTTAAAATTTTAAATATTTAAACCGGTTAACATCGATTAGATATTATTTTAGATTTGATGGTTTGAAGATTGAAAGTTTAAATCGATTTAAAATGTTAAATTTGTTCAAATTTTAAAACTGAGTTCCGGTTTGACGTAAGATTTCGAATTTAATGTCTATATATATTTTTCAATACCATTTTAATAAATTTATATATTTGCATAGAATTTTAGTTTCAATGCTGCGGATTAAGCTGCTTAACTGCCACGTGTTCGTACACTGCACCTTGGATCTTAATCTAACCTTAATCTGATATTTAATTTATCCCTTAATTAATTGATTATATTAGTTAATCCATCAGTTTTTTGCGTTAAGACGTTGAAAAAAAAAACTATACTTGTTAACTGATCCCTAAGAGGATTCCTGGGAGTAGGAATGTCCGCGTCGCAAGGAAATTTGCAGAAAAATATATTTTTTTTATTTCCAAATTTATTTTTTTGATAATCCAATTTTATCTTTTTTTCATGTTACAAGGAGAAATATATTATGCTTAGAGACAACCAAGCATCATTAACAAAAGGATTAAAGAGAAAGAAAGCTCATTAGGATGTGCTGTTACCGCCCCACATTTTTTTATGGTTTCTTAAAATGTGTCTGCGTCAATTTAACCTAAAATAATATGGATTTATGATTTTTTTTTTGTCATGGGAAACCCATATCCTACGACCTTTCGGGTCGGACACCGAACATCGCAACACCTCTCAATCCATGGGTCGGACGAGAACGACATCAGGACAGCATCGCGGACGTGAGAAAATCCACCGTCCTGTGCAATAGCCGGCAAACCACGCAAAACAGGTAAACCAGCCTCGTAAAACTGATTGGTTCAAGGGAAGTACTATACCTGGGATTCGAACACACAACCTCATAGAAGAAGGGGTTGTCATTAACCACTAGGCTGGAGAACTTCCTCAGATTTATGAATTTTCACATAACATATTTATTAATATGCTAAATTTTCTTCAAATGTTTGGTTTTGGTGATGACTCTAAAAATCCTAAATAAAGGGCATGTCTATTTTTAATTACCTTATTTTTTGCATGATTTGGCTCTTTCCATTGTTTATGTCGTAAAATGTAATCCCGAATAAACATAATCGACGTAATTTATATACGTATACATATTGTTGGAAATAAAATAAATCGAATCTAAAAATAATTGGATGAGAAATGCGTGTGGGCCCAACTTGGATGGTTTAAGTTTCAACGAAGGAGACCGGAGACGTGTCTTAGGTCGGTTCGGTCTCGCCCATAAGAGAAACAACCCCTCCTTAGTGGTTTTACTACGAATGTGCCCCTGCGCTGTTCCTATATTTTTTGTCACGTGAGATGTGGGGTCAATCACGTGGACCCCACTCTACCACCTAAAACGACATCGCATCTCTTCCTCGTCTCCAATTCTTTTGATTCGGACAAATTTCTTCTTTTGTTACTGTTGCTACTTACTTTTTTTGTTTCCTTTCAATTATTTTTTTCCCACGTTATTATATGTGCAATAGATAATGATATTATTAACCATCACGATCCAATAAATTTATCAATAAACTTTTATATCTTGTAATAATAAAAAATTATTCTTTGCTCGTTTTTACGGGTTTAAACCTAGAAAATGATCGGCAGAAAATTCATCCATGCATGACCAATAAGCTGTAACAATTATATTGTTTTGAAATAAATTGAGTGATCATATACATTATAACGTATTTTAATTCATCGTTAACTATAAAAATTTCTTGACACGATTTTTTTATTTAGAAGTTTTATATACGTCACAGATTTAGTAGACAACATAATACTGTGATTATTTATAATCGATATAATTTGAATCTTAAACTTAACGTTTCAGAAAGTATTAAATGTGATTAATGCGTTAGATATTTGAAAGTTACTGAATTAACAAAATCATATGCTTTATCAAAAATAACCAAGATCATATGAAATACTATTAAAAAATGTTGGTATTAATTTAATTAAGTAAATATTATTTAATGGAAAAGGAGAAAGCGTGTTTAGGGCATAAACCTAATAACTCACGGGACAGAGTGGAGAGCATGTGGGCGGATCGATGTTCTGTTTTTTTTTTTTTTTTTTGCTCTTTCCTTATTTGTGTAATACTGTTCCTCATGTGATCCCCAAGCCTAATCTCTTTTTCATTATATTCTTTTTTAAAATATATAAAAAAACGTTTATATATCATTTTCAAATATTACGTGGCATGCATGCTGGTTCCTTTTTGTTAGTAAAAACATATATAGGTTAGATATATCTACGTACGTGTGTTTGTATATATATATGTATGTGGTTACGTTCTTTGTATAAAATATACTTATTCGTGTTATGCAACAAAAACATAATTACATGTGAAATATACACATCTGCATATGTTCAATTAAATTAATCATGATTTTATTATTAATTATGTCACTCGATGATTATAATCCGTTTTGATTTCATGAGACAATATGTTTGTTAATGCATGGTATCACACAAAGGTTTGTTTCACCTATAAATGCCACACGTACATAAATAATCTCAATGTCACTAACATTAGTATTATTTATTTAATTTTTTTTATATAAATTTAATAAAAAAAAATAGTACCGCCAATAAAAACGATCAATGCCTCTATTTTTCATAATATTATTATCCCGTTAATAAAAATTTCTAAATTCGTTTCCATGTACGTAGATCTGTAGCCAAAAAAAAAAAAAATCAACCGGCGCTAATAAATACTAATTCACCTTCTTCTTCTTTTGTTGCACTTTCTTGTTCAATAACCAATAAGGATATTTGTCGGTCGAATAATTGAATCTCATCAATTAGAGAGTAAAAGGAATAGGCCAACACACACACACACACACACACACACACAAAAGAAATTAAAAGTACAAATTCATGAAGTATTGAATGCCATTATTGCTGCATTTGTCATGACCATACGAAAATTCTATAATTAATGCATACACTGATAAAAAAAATAAATAAATAAATGTATTATATGTTTTTGTCGTATATATATATATATATGCATACATACAGTATGCGAGCATATAAAATGCATGAATATGATGGTATGATCAAATTATTCACAAAGGTAGCTTGCATGTGGCCTTCACAGGTACGTACCATTGGAATTTAAATAAATGGCAATATAGACTATCTAGTCTTTCTTACCATAAATAAATAAATCAATGATAATTAAGAGGAGGAAATCGCGACAAGGGTTAGGCAAAACTGCGTCGTTTCAGGGCTAAATTGGGATCCGTGCCACTAATCATGAGTAGATCAAGCGAAATTTAATTTGATTTTACTCGGACCTCGGTTCTATTAAATCCTTGAGGGTCAACGGGTACATATTCTCAGGTCAAACCACTAGGCACTAGGTGATTTTGTCACCTGATCATCGTACGTACCACCTTCCTGCCCTCATTATTTTTATTTCATGAGAAAATTAATACTATCATTGATAATCACTCGACTCCGAATTCGTATTCAATATATATATATTAAAATTGAAAACCCCATTTTATACTTTTGGATTGCAAAAATTAAATTTAGTTGTTCCGAAACAAATATTTGGATATCAATAAAAATAAAAAATCATTGCACTATAATATCAAAAACAATTTCAGCAGATATTCAAATGCGAACTTTATAGAAAAAAATTAAAATAAATTTCCAATTTAATAAAATTATAAATACTTTTACATTTTTTATTAAAATAATAATTTTGTAAAATTTTAAAATTTTAGTATATTTTAATATTTTTTTAAAGTATATATAAATGACGTTGATTATATCGTCAAATCAAAATTCGAAGCCCATCTATGAATAATTTGGTTTATAAAATCAAAATCAAATCCAAATTATTGAGATATTGAAAAAACGAACAATTTTGTCCACTCTTATCCGCAAATTTGTTTATAATTTAAATATGATTGATTTATATACACTATTAATAATAATGAGTATTATATACCACAGATCATAACACTTACAAAATAGATATCACATCATGTACGTTATCGATTTATTCATAAATCAATGAAATAGGCTTATATATATATATATATATATATCCAAAATTCAAAATAAATGTTCAGCTGTAAGATATTAGGTCGGGATCGCCGAACACGATGCAGAACAAAAGTGCCCACCAAATAAACAATAAAACAAATATAAAAGTATTTATTTATTGTTGTTACTTTTTAGCGCCGCTAACTGGATAAACTCATTTTATCTTCAACTATGCAACTGGACAGACAGATCCCCAAACGCCGTCAACGTCCTAAGGTGACGCCGTTAGACTACGCCGTTTAGATGGGACTGTGTTGCTGCTGTAAAACGGGGAACGCAAAAACGACTGTATAAAAGATCTCCGCTCTCTCATCTCCTCCCAAACCGCGCAGAGAGAGAGAGAGAGAGAGAGAGAGAGAGAGAGATTCGGCAAGAGAAAGAGAGAACGCTTTCTCGCTCTAATTATCATCTCCGATCCCACTGAAGAGTCTCGTGGTACTTCGATTCGTCGGAATTCTATATTTTCTTTGCTTTTTTTTTTTTTCCATTTGGTGACGAAGAGATCCAAACTTCAAAGCAGAATTCTGGTGAGAAGGTAATTCTCGTGCTCCGTCTTAGCATTTGCTTCCTTTTTCTCTATATCTACCTGGATTTGATTCGGGGTTCTGCATTTGGACCTCCGCCTTGATGGTTTGACTTCAATTGTGCGTAATTCTGATGGTTTGAGATTTGAAATCTGCTGAATTATGGTTGAGCTCATGATTTTGTCTAAAATTGTGATGGCAGATCATTGGAATCTGAGAATTCCGACGGTTTTCAAATCATTCCTTCCGGGGGAGTTAGTTTTCTCGCTGAATCTCCTCCAGTTGCATGTTTTTCTGGGGATTTCGCAGAGAAAACGTTGCGTTGAGGCATAATTCTGAAAATTTCGAGCTGAATTCGAGTTGCTTAGGAGCTTTCTCAGGGAACAAGTTCCTGAGAAAGCATAATTCAACAGATAATATCGAGCTATTTTTCTTCCAAAAAGCATCAGAGACAAGATTCATCTCAGATCAACAGTACGGAGTTGCAGATCTGAGCAAATAGTTGCCGAATTTCGGAATCTGCACATCCGCGCAAGGAATTTCCCTAGAATTCCGAAGAAAAAACGAAGCGAGTGCGGAATTCTGAAATCCCCGCGCTGAATCATTGTGATTCAAAATTCAACAGAAAAACGTCGCGCCTGGTGTTTATGGAGCTTCCACAACCTCGTCCCTTCGAAACCGAAGGTATTACTATTTTCAGAGTTCCTCTGTTTTAGGGTTTCTGAAAATAATAAGATTTATTCATAGAAGAAAAAAAAAGAAAGAAGAAGAGGGTGATTATCTCTTGCGTTTTAACTTTTGACTTGGAAGATTTTCCACAGGGAGAAAACCGTCACGTGATTTTTTGTCGCTCTGCAGTCATTCAACCGCCCATCCAGATCCAAGGACTCCTCCTCAAGGTAATTTTTTTCATCATCATCATCATATTATTATTATTATTAAATAAAAGTAAGCCGGCCATAAAAAAAAAAAAGGAAAATAAGAGGAACATATTTAGGCATCGCGTTTTTTCGGTTGTGCGCGCGTGCATGTGAACTTAATACGAATCGTGGATCACGGGACAAGGATTTTGGGCCCTACTGGGCCCAGACTGTGGAAACCTGTAAAAAGGGACGTTGATGGATTTATCTTTTTTCTTTTGAATCAGAATAATCTTCATCAATCTTTGATGCTTTTTAATGACGAATCATGATGGCTCTGTTATGTTTCTGTATGCTTCAGATCTAGAATCGTACAAGATATACATATATATATATATATATATATATCTGTGTGTGTGTGTGTGGTGTGTGGTGTATACACACACAGACACCATTTCTGTACGGTTGTAATGTGGGCCTCATTACGCATTCCCACGTGTGATCTATTGTCTGAACAACGCAAACACCAAAGCTATCTTAGAAAAGGATTTGGATTTAGGGTAGTGTTTTGTTCGTATATACATCACTAGCGTCAGTTGTATGACTTGCAAATGGAATCACAATGTCAACTACTTAAACATGGTTATCTGCTTTGGTTGATGTCTGAGCAGGTGGATACCTGAAAACCCACGATTTTCTACGACCCTTGGAACATGTTGGGATAAGAGGTGGTGCTAAGGAGGAAACCAGCAGCGTCGACACTTCGGCATCCAAGGACCCGCAGCCGCCATCTTCCGTGGATCAGCACGTGCTCCCCGGAGGTATAGGGACATACACGATCAGCCACATTCCCTACTTTCATCAGAGGATTCCTAAACCGGAAGATTCACCAATGTTTACGTTGGCCCAAGCAAGCGGTTGTGAGAGAAACACCGACGAGAATTCCAACTGCAGCTCGCATGCAGCTAGTGGGTTCACTTTGTGGGACGAATCTGCAGGGAAGAAGGGAGGGAAAAAGAAGGAGAATGTTGAGGAGAGAGCAAGCTTGAGAGGTAATATGAAGAAAAAAAGACAGTAGTAATATCTTGTTTCATAGACATAGATTTGTCATATGCAAGTTTCCAAAGTGATACATCATATATGTATGGGATAGAGAACGTTGCAAGTTTTTTGGACACCATTCGGAGGTAAGTTTCTGATTTTCAGCAGATGCAGCAACAGCTATGGGGCAGTGGCCGGGGGCAGATCATAGGAACAGCTTCAGTTCTGGCTCTTCCTCTCAGTATGTCATCTCCTCCCATCTTTTACTAGATCAGTGTATTTGGTAATTTGTCTTGGGAATGCACGGGCTAACTGTGAGGTTTGTTCTGAATGTTATTACACAGGGTGTCTGGACTGAAGAGTCAGAGCTTCATGGACATGATACGGTCAGCAAAAGTGAATTCCCAGGACGATGATGAAGAAGAGTTGGTCATGAGGACAGAGAGCCCCTCCACTAGCCAGAAAGGTTAATGTATCGTATTTACCTACCGTCCACAACCACAAGCTACAAGTACCATCTGGCACTTTAAAGCCCGTAGCTTAATTTTGTACCAGCTGTCTTGTTTTGTTACAATATAATTATTCAGTTTGCTACTTGCTCAAGTTCCTTCCTTTGCTTGCAGTGGATTTGAGGGTAAAAGCAGACGGGGATCGAAAGCCAAACACGCCTAGGTCGAAACATTCTGCCACAGAGCAGCGGAGGAGGAGCAAGATCAATGACAGGTGAGTAGTCTCCATGGATGTATTCCTCGGGTCTTTTGCAAATAGAGTACTGCAGATTCTAACAAGTGTGTTATGAATGAATTTCCTCAGATTTCAGATGTTGAGACAACTGATCCCCAACAGCGACCAAAAGCGGGACAAGGCATCATTCTTGCTGGAGGCATGCATCTCTTTTGAAAATAAGATCATTCTTATAACATTGACAGGTTATTTTCCTCAAATTCTGAAACTTTTTCTTTTTACACAGGTGGTAGAGTATATTCAGTTCTTACAGGAGAAAGTAAACAAGCATGAAGGCTCATACTACCGCGGCTGGAACCCAGAGCCTGGGAAGCTAATGAATTGGGTAAATATCAGATTTTATTGCAATTTTCTCGATACAATGTAAAACCTGAAAGAGTTTTATTTGTAACAGAGAAACAGCCAACGGCTACCACCAGAAGGATCCGTTGCCTTTGCTCCCAAGTTAGAAGAGAAAAACAACATCCCAATGCCTCAAACCGTTATACCAAACGCGAAGGGCGGAAATGCGATGGATCCGCAATGTAGAGCGGGGAAGCCGTTTCCCGTTCTGACGGGCAGTCCGATATCTCAGTTCCCGACGAGAAACGTGTCCGAGCACAGACGGGATCAAACGCAGCCATGTGACGGCGTCCCGTCAGAAGGAGAAGGCGTTATTGAGAGTGGTAGCATTAGCATCGCCAGTGTTTACTCCCAAGGGTGAGGAGAAATGAGATTTCCATTCCGACAAGTTACAATTTTTTTTTTGGTAACATGGATTGTGTTGAGTTAGGTTGATGAAGAAGCTGACGCAAGCACTGGAGAGTTCGGGAGTGGACTTGACGCAAGCAAGCATCTCTGTCCAAATCGAGCTCCCCACACATTCCTCTCTTAAGGTTCCCCTCTCCTTCAAAAAAAAAACTTGAACTAAATACAAAAATTGATATGTAAATCTTTATAATTCTCATTATTACACTTACTGACCATTCTTATATGTCGTTTAAATGGTGTGGGGATAGGATGAGGAGGTGCGTCGGACACGACCAAGAACTGAAACAGACGACGACGGCGGTCATAAAAAACTCAAGACCGACATACACTAAAAAAAAACCCCACCACCGGTAACACTTTTGCATTATCCTTTCTTTATTTTATTTTTAATTTATCTCTTCTTGTGAGGATTATATGATTCATCAGTGGAAAAGCTTCCATGTTTTGGTGAAGCTTCTCCCTGTGTTAGGTTATGAGCTTCCCTTCTCTCCTGAGTTTACTTTTGAGTCGCTTTATTTCCTCCTTTTCTTTTCTTTTTTTTTTTAAATTTATTTCGATACTGTTTGTTTGGGCTCACTCCATTCATTTCTATCATGTATTTATTGTTTAACTTGTAAATACTTATTGGCCCAATTAGATTTAGTGTACGAACTAGACTCCAAATTAGTTGAAACAGTGAAACTACGATAATATATATATATATATATATATATATATAATACATTGAATTATATAATACCATTATTAATTTTTATGCAAGCGTTATCCATATGATTGACTTTCATCAAAAATTGATGCTATTAATTAAGATAATAATTAATCTAAAATTAATGTAGTTGAAATTAATCTACCGCAATGTGGGAGATGGGACCCGAATAACAAAACCGCAAGAAAATTAAAATTGATATATGATAATAGGACATTGGTAAAAAAAAAAAAATCTTCTTAGGTGATATATGAGATTCACAAACAGAATGCGAGATATAACCCCTTTGCACCAATGACAATGAGGAGGCCAAATGCAATTAATTGATCATAAAATTTCTTTCTCATAGGAAGTAAAAGCAACGATCAGATTTTCCTCGAGAGAAAAGGAAAGCCGTCGTGTCTCAGGTAAGGGTGGCTATTTCAGGTTTCGGTTATATTCGGATTCGATTTAATTATATTCGTGTTCGGTTATTTCGGTTATAGAAAAACTATAATCATTCGGTTTTTATATAAAATTTGGTTTGATTCGGTTCGGATTCAAATTTTTTGTTGTAAAAAACTCATTTTTTTTAAAAAAATATCGGTTTTTCGGTTATTTTTTAATCGGTTTGGTTCGGTTCAATTTCGGATTTTGTATGGTTTAAAGAATCATAACCGTTCGATTTTTATGTCAGACTCAATTCGATTACGGATATATCTTATTCGATTCAATTCGGTTCGATTATTCGGTTAATAACCAAAATGCTACCCTAGTCTATAAGTACATAACAAAAAAACACATACTTTCGACTCCAAGAAATGAGGAAAACCCCACGACAAAAAACGTAATATTTTTTTTTTTTGATAATCCGGAAGTTCACCGGGCCTTTGGCCCAACTACATTTTCCAGAGGACCGGGACAGCCCATGTGAAAATCCTTCCTCAACCAGGAATCGAACCGCCAACCTCTTAATGCTTTGCACCCGGCTGCTGACCACTCGCCCACAAGCTGTTGGGTCAAAAAACTGTTTATATGTATATTCAGACGGTTTTCGTGTTATATCATGCATATGCATATAGATGTGTGCAACTCGGTGCGATAAAACAGAGTCCCAAATATTTTGGGGCTATATTTTTTAGAAAAATAATTACATATATAATTATTAAAAACTATAATTATAGTGGAATAGTCATGGATAAAATCTTAATTGTTATCCTTTAACTCCTGAGTTTTTGTTAAATAAATAAAAAGATTTATTAAAAAATCAAAATCAAATATATAATAGAGTCGTTACATGTTAAAATTTATAAAGACTCATAATTACTAAAATATTTATTTTAAAAATAAAATTAATTAATTTTTATGGATTATTAAAATAATATAAAAATTCAAAAAGGAGACGTACAATTACGAACTGTTTGAAATACTATTCATAATTACATATATAATTATAAATTTACTCAAATTCTTTCTAAAAAATTCACGATTATTATCAATTTTTTATTTTTTATTTTTTAGATTATAATTATTTATATAGATATTTCATATTTTTCATAACAAAATTATATTTTAAAATTTAAAATTTAATATTTTATAATAAAATAATAATAAAAATAGATTTTTTTTTTAATTTTACATAGGTTCTGTCTATTTCATATTTTTCATGATAATGAAAAGAAATTTGAGATTTGACCAGAGGAGGACAGGAGACGGGCCTGTCGGGCCCAATAAGCATGGGCATGTGAAATCCGTTTCCCACTGCACAGTTCAGGTTTGACTATTGTTAAAGCCCAACTACCACGTGTAACTTTTCTGGTCAAGCACTATTATTATTATTATTATATTTTTACACGAATTGTTTAAAATATTTAAAATGTGACGAAATTTTAATTTGACATAAATGTATCAAATTGATACACGAAATACCCAATTTAACTGCAATTTTCTACACAATCCGAAAACGGTGTTAAATGTCCATTAATCGATGACATGGCATGCCACGTGGCGTTTGACATGGCACGCCATATGAAAAATTTTGTCATGTCAGCATTCCACGTCATATTTAAAAAAAAATCCGAAAAAATCTGAAAAAAATTTTAAAAAAATTGAAAAAAATATATATATCCTCATATATAAAAATATATATACTTCTATTTAAAAAATATATATACTTATATATATATTTATATCTATATACAAATACAAATATAAATATATATACTCCTATATAAAAATATATCTATATATATACAAAATAAAACATATACATATATATATACTAACATCTATACAAATATATATACATATACATACAAACAAATATATTTATATATATACACATACCATATATAAATACATATACACATATATAAGTATATATACATACATATATACATACAAAATAAAAAATATATATATACATATATGTTCATATCCACATACAAATACAAATATAAACATAAATACTCCTATGTATATATATATATATATATCTATATATATATATATAAATATATATACACGTATATATATATGTATATATATATCCACATACAAATACAAATATAAACATAAATACTCCTATGTATATATATATATACATAATAAAAAATATATAAGTATATATACATATATAGGAGTATGTATGTTTATATTTGTATTTGTATATAGATATGAATATATATGTATATATGTGTATTTTTTTACTTTTTATTTTTATTTTATTTTCATTTTTTTCAGTTTTTTTCGGATTTTTTATTTTGTTTTTTTAATCTGTTATTTATTTATTTTTTTTGTAATTTTTCGGATTTTTGTATTTTTTTTTTAAATTTGACATGGCATGCTGACATGACAAAATTTTTCATGTAGCGTGCCATGTCAGACGCTACGTGGCGTATCACGTCATCAGTTAACGGATATTTAACACCGTTTTCGGATTGTGTAGGAAATTACAGTTAAATTGGGTAGTTCGTGTATCAATTTGGTACATTTGATAATTTGGTGTAATTTTTTGTCAAATTAAAAGTTCGTGTAGGAAAAAGTTACATTTTAAACAATTCGTGTAGAAAAATATTTTCCTTATTTTTAATAAAAATGTGAAGTTGAGCTTGAAGTTTCCAACTCTAACTTCCAATTGTCCGTAAATCTCTTAAGGGGGCGATTAGTTACACTGCCACCATCCGCAAACGGAACGGTTGCGATTTCTGGCGTTGCAGGCGATTGAAAAACTTATTAGTTGAACCGCAATCAACCGCATCCGTAACCAAACTTGTGTTTTCTAATCGTAGTTTTCAATTTACGTTTTGACAGCGGTTTTCGGCGTTTTAAAAAAAAACTAAAATATCCTTATTAAAAATTATATAAAATACCAATATATATGATGACTTTATTTATTGTTATGATTTGATATTATTTTCTAGTATTATATTTTAATAAAAAATACAATAGTATAATCTTTAAGTTTAATGATGATTATTTTTAATAATTTATATAATAAAATTATTTTTATTTAAAAATAAATTAAATTGATAATATTTATATTTTAAATTTATTAAAAAAATAATTTTTATCAAATGATATTAAAAATATTTAATTTAAACTATTATAAAAAATGAGTTGGTCATGA